TACCCAAGGCTAGCCCATGGTTTTTTCCAAAAAATGGCTCCGAAATCACCCCAAATTTTTATTAAATTTTCTGATACATATTGATGTCCTTATGCTGTCTAGAAAGTTTCAGCTGATTCCAACTTCGATTTTTTGAGTTACGGCCATTTTAAGAAAACGCCAAAAATCTAAAAAATACCCAAGGCTATAGCCCATGGTTTTTTTTTAAATGGCTCTGAAATCAACTCAAATTTGTATTACATTTTCTGATACATATTGATGTCCTTATGCTGTGTAGAAAGTTTGAGCTGATTCCAATTTCAAATTTTCAAGTTACAACCATTTTTTTAGAGTGCCAAAATTCTGAAAAATACCCAAGGCTATAGCCCATGGTTTTTTTCAAAAAATGGCTCAAAAATCATCCCCGAATTTTATTACATTTTTTGATACACATACTAATGTTCTTACTCGTCTCATTGTCATTGACATTTCAGTTACTTCATTTTCCAATTCTTTGATTCTTGCTTGTAGTTTTGCTGTCGTTTCCTTTTTATTCATTTGTGTATTTTCCTCATCATTTGAACTGATATTGTTTGAATGTCCTTCATTCTCACTTTTAGCAAAATAACGATCCCCAATGTATATTAATAGCAACTAACAACAACAATAAAAAACAATTAATAATAATATTAAACTTACCAGGGGTATGAATATCATTGCTAGAAACAGTGTTGGTTGGAGTATTAGTAATACTGGTATCAAAACTGAATTTATCTCATGATCAAGTGTAAACTGAATCACTCCAGAGAGTACCATGAAGATACTGTTAGTATATATAATGACTGAGGTTTGTTTGGCTTCGTTGAGTGCTGAGACTTCAACTCTTCTTGTGTGATAAACAAAGAAGATACACATCAACTGAAGGAATGATCTGTAGCTCAATGATGTGGCCACTATAATCTTGTTCCTTGTACATTCAAAGTAATATTCCTTCACTACTGTGCTGTTCTATTAGAGAATGACTGGGGAATGAATAGTAGTAGTACGAGTCTCACCTCAGTGATTATTTGTCCATCATAAAGTATTTTAGCATTAATTCTAGTTTGAGGATTAACTGCTTCAACGAATATAATAAAGACATCAATTACTGATAGTATCAGTATTATGAGATACAGCATCCAATCTTTAACATTCTGTGAATTAGATGAGGCTGTGATTGGATGAACTGTAACTGACTTTATTTTCATTGTTAAAAGTGTAATATACTCTCCAAGCTTTGGCCATTATAACTGTGAATGAGAGCATGTACCCGATAGAAAAAACCCAAACTCTGAACTACAAATAAACAAATAAATAAATAAATAAATAAACAAGGACCTACATTGCATAGAACTGATTGTTGCAGTGTTTCATTGAAGCCACTGAATGAGTTAGTGTACAGTGGGCCAGTGGAGTATAGCACAGTGCAGCCAAAGAGAAGGACTACATTTATTTTAACATTGGAGAGTTTAGTGACCCTGAGGGAGAAGGAATGCATTAGATACTGTCAATGAAGACATGTTGAGGCTGTTGGTTACTTTTCCTTCCCTGCAGCAGTGTTAAT